TCTTTCAACCATCTATCCATCCATCCATCCATCCATCTATCTATCTATCTATCTATCTATCTATCTATCTATCTATCTATCTATCTATCTATCACAAATCAAAATCTATTTTTTTTTTAAATTCTTTATTTAACAATATTTTTTACAAAGCAAAAACAACGGAAAAAAACCAAACAAACAAACAAACCATAAAACATAAGCCACATAAAGAAACAAATCAATACTTAAACTTATCTAATACAAAAACAATTGTGAAGAAAAACATTTGAAAAAAATATATAAATATGATAGATAGATAGATAGATAGATAGATAGATAGATAGATAGATAGATAGATAGATAGATAGATAGATTTTTATTTATTTAATTTTTTTTCTTTTCTTCACAATTGTTTTTGTATTAGATATGTTTAATTATTGATTTGTTTCTTTATGTGGCTTAAAAAAAAAGATAGATTTTGTTTTGTTATATAAATACACATTTAGAGAGAGATAGAGAGACACTGTACATAGATAATTTTGATGTGTTAAATGTCTCAATAATCCTCAGACTGTCCAGGATACCTCTCTGTCTTGTGGGCAGGCACAGAGGGTTCTAAGCAGTTTCTGTAATTAAATGCTGATTTTCTGCTGTTCTTGCCACATAAGAATAACATAATTTTACCAAAAGAGTAGTGGATGCTTGGGATAGACTTCCAGCAGAGCCAATTGACAGTAAGCGATCGACAAATTTACAAACTTACTATTGATATATGTATATATATATCATGAAAAATATATATTTTGCAACGCAAGCTCTTTTTTATGATATATACAGTATATATGTATAAACACACAGACACACACACACACAGACACACACACACACACACACACAGACACAATCTTAGCATTACAGATGGATACAATTTAGGAAGTTCCAGCAAAGTCAATAAGCAGCGATGACAGGATGGGTGTGGGGGGTCTGTACATACCTTGCAGATGTCCACTTGGATCCGGCAGACTTCAATGATCAGCCAGCACTTTGCCCTGAGTATTTATACGCTGCGTCCGCCTGGGTGAGGATGAATTTGCTTCTGACGTCCGGGCTCTGCTCTGTGATTAGTGAGATTCAGCTGTAAGTCACAGCACATTCCATCAGGTTACCTGGAGGGGTCTCCGGGGGCCCCCACCTTTAAGCCAGTATTAAATGAGCGACATATTTCCTGGGCATAGTAAAGCCGAGTATGTGTGTGTCATATATATATATATACACCTACATGAGATATACAGTATATGTGAGATATATATAAGAATGCTGCAGCTTCTTGTCAATCTCGTCCCTTTCTAATAAATATATGTTGTAGAGGAGGAGGAGGTGGAGGGAGATGGGGAGATGGAGGATGTACTTTGTTCTTCCAGTGATAAAGGAAAAGTTTTAGGAGCGATATATATATTTAAAGCTGAACACCAGGAAAACCTTAATACACAACAGATCTGTTTTACCTGCCATGGGTTTGTAGTTCCGTCCCCCCTGTTCTGAGAGTTACACAGCCCATAATCTTTTTGGTAAGGTTCATCTCTGTGTCACTCTCGTCTCTCCTCCTGCCAACATGCCATACAGCTGATTGGCACCTGTTTCTTGCTCTCGCCGTCTGAACTCTGCTGTTAAAGGAGAACTATGGGGTTAAGTCTTTTCCCCTTAGTTCTCCTTAGGGTAACGGGAGGACACAAACTAGCGTCCTCCCATCACCCTAGGCTCGCGGTATATTAAGACGCCGCAGGATACCGCGAGCAGCTGCTCGCGGTACACTGAGACGCCGCAGCTGAAGCGGATCCCGACAATCGTGCCGGGATCCGCCCAGCTGCCTGACTGACAGCTGGCTCTGCCTATCTAGAGGCAGAGCCAGCTGTACCCGCCCCCCCGTCCGTTCCGCCAGTCAGAGCTGGCGGATCGGAGCAGGGAGGGGGGAATCCAGCCCCTCCCCTGTCACTGCAGAGAGCCGTGACAGGATCGAGAAGCGAGCGAACGCCGGTATGTGTTCGCTCACCTCCCGATCTACTGAGCCGACCTGTGACAGTCTCATTGTCACAGGTCGGCTAGAACTATGAGGTGAGTGAAAAGCACTCACCTCATAGTTCTCCTTTAAACTGCCACATACAATGCTGTTTCAACACCTCCCTCTGGACAAGTTAATAACACCTCCTTGACTCCAATTTTGCACCTGATTGTGACTAACAGATTATGTGGATCGGAGCAACATTCACCATATTTATTCCCAGAGAATGTTTTGTACAAGTCATTCTGAATGGAGAAAGCTGATCGGATGACCAGTGAAACGTCTTCAAGAAAAATACAACAAGTCCAGTTGCCTTCTTTTACAGATATACTTGTGACATGCTTCTTTGAATAAAAGAACACTTGGATTTATCTCGTCCTTTGTGTGCTGGTGATCTTCATTATTCAATCTTGATAGCAATCGCACAAAACCTAACTGTACATTTTTCTCAGTGAAGAGTGATCTCAGCCCTAAAGCTATGGGGGCATCCAAATTGGGACAAGGGACTTCTACATAGATGTATCAATTGAGAGTTGCTTCTCTTAGAGGACACCCAAACATCCTTATTCTATGTCTAAATCATGGGTGTCAAATGCTACCAGTCCCACACCGAAATGAGCCGAGATTTTTCTAAAATCTACGGTTCTGATTGAATTGCCCCCATGTGCTAGAAAGAGATTATTAAGTTGCCTGACGTTTCTTCCAGTACAGATAGGGTTCTATTCATAAACAATTTGCTCTGTGCGAATATATGCCAAAAGAAATGTTATTTTCTTTACAAATGCAATGAATTCTGGAGTGTTTTCACGTAATATAGCATTATGGCCAATAGATGGCGCTAAAGAAGCATAGGAAATAGGCATCTATTTTCTATGCTCCTTAACGCCTTCTAGTGGCCATAATGTGGTATTGGATGAAAAAAAGAAACATTTGAAAATACATTGCGTTGTAAAGAAGCAACTAACGATCGTGTTAGCATATGTCTGCACAGATTGGATGCTCACAAATATTTGCAGGGGCCCCGCTGGTAGTTTATAAATAGAATAGTTTATGAATAGACTCTATAGACATATTTATTTTCACTATATTTGTGACAACATTTTCCAAACTGAAAAATGATCATCCTATGTCAATAAATCAAATGTATATTGTTTTTGCATATATTGTACATCTCTTAGGGCTTGTACACATCATATACAGTACAGTGTGTTCCAGCGCAGTTAGCTGCTGGAACGCACTACTGTATAGCGCATCCTGGTCGGCTTCCTGCGTTCAGGGGTGGAAGGGGGCGTGGTTGTGCATTGAAGTCAGCATAGCCATGCCCCCCGCCGGCAGTGTGATTGCCCATACTAGAACGCGTGGCACATCAATGCCAGTGCCATCTAAAACAAAATAGTGCATAGTGCTATATGCTCTGGTGCAGGCGATCGCAATGGGGGTGGGCGCAACACCAAGCCCCCTCCCCCCTGAATGCAGGAAGCTGGCCGGGATGCGATACAGTGCGTTCCAGCAGCTAACCAAGCTGGAACACACTGTATATGGTGTGAACAAGCCTTAGGGCTTGTACACATCATATACAGTACAGTGTGTTCCAGTGCGGTTAGCTAAGAGTTAAGAGTGTTGACGTTAAAAAAGTAAAATCCCAATTATACTCTCCATGTTTATAGGTATATCTGGGAGCAGTAAACATTACCTTTGGAAAAAGTTTACTTTTAATTAGTGCTTCAAGACAGCCCAAAGTTCATTCCAAGGTAAAGGGGTGAAGATTAGGACCTCTGCACACTGCGTGAGAGCAGTGGTCCAGATCTCAAATGCTCCTTCTACACAGCCACAACTACGGCGCTCCAACCAGCATGGAGCGTGAGCATTACAGATGGGTGTGCAGTAGATGTGACCATGCAGGGTTGGAGATCTGGATGACTGCTCTCACACACAGTGTTCCTCCGCTACATCCCAAGAGGTCAGATGATGCGGTTGAGAAGAAATTGCCATAATGATATTGATTTCAGAACCCAATCTGACATGTTAAAGAAGAGATTTGTCCAAAAAGGTTATGAAGAAAGGTTTCTCAATAAAGAGATAGATAGTGTAGCTGAGATTACGAGGGAAGTTTTAATAGCTGATAGGACTACTACTGAGGTCAAAGATCCACAGATGGCATTTATTTTTTATTTTAATTCCCAATATAGAGATGTGGAGAGAATTGTGGCTAAACATTGGAACATTTTAAATTTGGATGAACAAATAAAGAAATGATTACCGCAGAGACTTTAGTTTGTGTATAGAAAAATTAGATGCTTTAAGGATATAGTAGCCAAGTGTGTAGTGGATCCACCTTAAAAGAGAAAGTATGGGGGTTATTCACAAAAGGGTGAAGAGTTTGGAGAAGGCCGGAGAAGTGAACAATCTAGGACAACATCGCTGATTTGGAAACATTCCCCAATTTAGCTCACTTTCCCGTTTACATATGTTGTCCTAGATCGTTCACTTCCCCTGCCTTCTCCAAACTCTCCACCTTTTTCTGAATAACCCTGTTAGTGACCTTCCTAGATGTGATTTTGCTTCCATGCAAGTAGGCGTTGTCACGCATGTAGGCATGTCCTCAAGAATGTAAAGCGGAGAAAACAGTTTCTGAACAATACCAATAACACACAGGCAGGGCCGGATTTATTCTCCCTGCTGCCCCAAGGCCAGGTTCCGCAATGCGCCTCCCTTCCCGCCAACCCCCCCCATCAATGGAGAATGGCAACCAGATGGCAGGGCGGCAGGGTTAGTTTTCTTTTTTTTTATTGTTTCTTTATTTTTTTAAAAACTTTTTTATTACTTTTTTTAATTTTTATTTATTGTTTTACTTTTAATTTTTTTATTTATTTTATCGTTTACTTTTTTATTTTTACTAATTTTTTAATCTTATTTTGTACTTTTTAATCACCTTTTTATTTTGTGATAGCAATAAAGTTAAGTGAAAAAAATGTAATAAAAAATAATAAAACATTATAAAAAAAATAAAAATTATGAAAAAAAATAATAAAAATGATAAAAAGTAAAAGATAGTAAGATTAAAAAATAAAAAAGTAACAAATAATAAGAAAAAAATTATAACAAAAAAAAAGATTAAAAAAACTATAAAAAAAGTAAAAGATAATCAGATAAATATTTAAAAAGTAAAAAAATGTAAGTTACAAATATAAAAAAGTGATACAAAAGTTTAAAAAAATAAATTAAATTAGAGGTGTACCAAAAAGGAAATTTCAAATCCGAAATAAAAAATAAAATGTCAGGCCGAAACCAAAAATGTTTATTTTTGTAACCTTTTAAAAAATGTTTTTGAAGCAGCCATCTGAGGGCGCGTTGGGGTCAAAAATGCACCTTCGCCTGTGTAGGAAAAAATCCTTGCACCAGCCCTGCATCTACCTAAATATTGTTGCTGAGCAATTATGGAAACAGTATTCCCTTATTCCCATGTTTTTTTTTAACCCACTAATTAATTTCCTTTAAACATAGGACACTCATCAATGTAAAAATCTGACAGCTGTTTCTTAAGAAATGTGACGTTTAAAAAAAAAAAAAATAACAAAAATGTTAATGTAAACGGTACAACAATGACTGAACTCTTGTATTTGTTGAGAGTACATTATGGTCTCCCTTTAACCTGTGGCCCTAAGCAGAGGCCCGAGGGTGCCTAACGATGATTGAGGCCCTGACTGTGTTCTCTGTGTCTCTCTATGTCACAGCTTTCTTTCAGCTTTGCACATTTGTGGGTAGCCTAATTTTGATGCTACAAAGAAAAGGGAACAGAAAGCCGGTTGACCTTCCGCTAACATGAATCAAAGTGGCTTCCTACCGCCGTGCTGACTGTGGAGTTTATGACGCTTTCAATCCAAGCTCGGCTAGGAGAAGTCAGGTCTAACTGACCCGGCCTGTTCACTGGCTTTGTTCACTTACTGAAGAGAAATTTGGGGACTTTGTGATATTGGCAGCTTGCTTGTCTTATGAAAACTTGCTGCATTTGATATTCCAGTCATGTCTGAGTGAGATTTATGGCTAGGTAG